CACCCCTATGGCAGGCTTGCTTTGACCTCCCCTTCCTGAAGGGAGGGCAGCCTCTCCCCAGCTCCCCCTGGTGACATCTCTGATGTGATGTCAGCTGGGGCCTGAGGAGGAGCTGGGAAAAGGCTGCTTTGTGCCTAAGAGGGAGCATTGGTGGAGTCAGGTGACGTTTACTTCCAGTCCCTGCCCTATCCAATAATGTGAGCACAGGGACCTTGGTTGGGTGTTTAGCCATTTTGGAGCCAGTTTACTTACCTACAATATGAGGATGACTAGTCCCATATGGGCTGGCAAGATGGCTCAGCAGGCTAAGGCACTTGATGCCGAGCCCAAACACTAGAATTTGATTCCTGTGAGCCAAACAGTGGAAGGAGAGAACGGCCTCCTCCAAGTTGTGCTGCGGCCTCCATACATGGGCAGTAGTGGGTGCGTTCACCCCTCCCCCAGGCATACATAATAAAAGTAAATGTAATTGTAAACTTTAATTATAAACTATTTAAAAGAATAGCTTCTTCATCCCTGAGTATAAATATTCCTGTGAAATGAACACATCAGTGTCTAAAATGCAGCACATAGTCAGTCATAGTCACAAATGCATATGTGAGCCTTTAGTAAAGAAAATGTCACATGTTTACAGGGATGGTGCATGTAGTCAGGAGTACAGGAAATAACAGCTCCTCAGCATGCAGGTTTCATCCTTAATCTAATTCGCTTCCCATGTGACTCTAGATTATTTTGACACCCATGGCAGACATCCATCACATGGTTTTACATGAAACTGCCTCTGTATTTATATGTAATAAATAAGTCTTATTTTTCATCACAATCACAATGCTAAGGGTACTATAAATCTTTAATTGTACCAAATATCTATAATCAGCACTTGGATCTCTTCCATTATACACAATGTGTTTACAGTTTATTTGTTTGAACTGGGATGCAGAGCTGAGCAAAAAGATCCCAGGCCAGGGTCTTCAGTGAACATAACATGTTCAAAGAAATGTGGACACAACGTTATATTCGTTTACTCCATTTTATTTGTTATTTTGGGAATTAATTATGCACATGCATTTGTTATTAAACCATATACAAAATTTACAACATTCCAAAATCACAGCTAAAGAACTGCAATTCAAAGAAGTCGGCCTCTTCCCTTCCACCTCTCCCCTACCCTCCCCCCATTCTTCTCTCTCTGTGATGTGAAGGCAAAAACGTCAGTGTTGATCTTTGACAGAGCTACACCACTTAGCTTTCCATCAGTGATGTCTGAGGGTTTCTGCTCTCCTCACGCCTGTTTCCTCACAGAACACGCTGCCTTGTGTTGAGACTTCTGCTAAATATATAGACGAGAAATATACCCTGGAACCTAGCACTTGTCCATGGCTCCTGACTCCTTTCATTGTGCAATGGCCTTTAGACACCAGGATCAGAGCATTCGATGTGCTTTTGCTATGAGATGTCACCTTTGCTGAGTCTCCACTCAGCATATAGAGCCCAGGTAGATACACATGCATACTTACCCATGCAAACACACACACACACACACACACACACACACACACACACACACATGTTTATTTAGTCAAATATTTGTCCCCAAATGCTTTTTGGTGTGGGTTCATCAACTGGACTTGGTTAACATACCAAGTCATACCCTTAAAAGAAACTTACCTTCCCCCTTCCCAGCAGTCATCTGTTTCCAATAGTTCCTCAGGTAAGTAGGGGTTTCTTATCCATTTCCCCATGGCTATGCTGGGATTTTTGTGATTTGAGCTTGCATAGGACTAGGGCATACTGTCATCATTGCAGTGAGT